CGGGCGAGTCCTCGGCGGGGGTCGGAGTGCCCCGCGGGAAACAGAGTGGGAGGCGAAGGGAAAGAGAGAAAGTTAAGGTGTTTATTTTTTTATTTTTATATTTTGTTGCGTGTTGCTCAGCTCGATCAGAAGTTAAAAGCAGTGAACATTTTTCTTAGCTGTATGCCTCCAAGCTGCTGGCCTGCCAAGTTAGTCAGCTGAATCCAATTACTGCAAGCAGCATTTCATTTGGCTCGATGGAAGCACTCACTTATAACTTCACCTAAAATTTCAATAATACCTATATTGGTCCCACGCCTTAATAATTCTAAAGATTTCCCTGGGTTTAGCTCTAGGAATGTCCTCTCCGAGTGCTGGGAGCCGAGCGCAACTCCAGCATGCCCGGACTCCTCTCTTCACAGCACAAACTTTGGGGGCTCTTCCTGTGGCCGTGGAAATCTTGGTATTTGGCCAAGCTCCGTCTAAACAAAGCATGTCTAGAGCAAGAAACCTATTGCTTGTGAGGCTGAGAAGCTGCTACGAAAAGGGATGAGAAGTCGATAATTAATTAGGCACAAAATGAAAACTTACCGTGTTAATCAACAGCAGCAAACAATAACTCGGTTTGCAACATTATGATCTCTCCGCTCAGGGGCTAAGGTGCAACCCAACTTAGGCTGCCTTCATACACCCTGTAAAGTGCTATTTCTAATGAATTATCTTGAAAAAAAATAAGGCACTTAAAGTTGACGTACGCCCACGTGAATATATTATATAAGACGTTACCGGGACAGGCCCGGGCCAGGAACCTGAGAGAGCATCATGTGTAATCATGAAGCTCCACTTCCCTCACTCCTGTTTGCCAGCATAAATTAAGGTGATTTGGAAGGGGAATGTAGCATCCTACTGAGTTTGGTTAGGGAGAGAGAAGACTTGGTGGAAAGTTGTAAGGTCTGTTGTGTTGTGAGCTATCGGAGGCGCTTCCGTTGGTTGTTCATTAAGTGGTGAGTTATTGCTGTACGAGCCAAAGGTCATTTCAAAGGCTTATGGTGGCTAGATATCGTCTTTATAATGACCTGGGCTTCTTTGTGGGGGATTTTCTGGCACTCTTAAGTTCTTAAAGTCCTGAATCGACACATTGCACAGCCAAACGCAAAATACTAATTTCGAGAAGTAAATGTTTGCAGTGCATTTTCAGTGCTGGGGCTTCTTCGCTTATCTTTCTGTCTGTCTTAGTTGGGGTCTGGGGGGAGAAATGGAGAGAAACCCGCGCTAGCTTCGTTTCCGCCGAGAGCTCCGCGGGTCGTGGATGCGGGTACGGTGGTTGTGACCACCGAAGGTGCCCGCAGCTCCCCTGCAAAGGCGTTCCCGGACCCTGGTGCGCTGCCTCTCCGCGTCTCGGCCCGCACTGGGTGCTCGGGGAGGCAGGTGCGGCTTCGCGGCCGGGGTGCGGGGCCCGTCGGAGCGGCTGCTGCAGGCCGCACTGCCCGGGTCCGACCCGCAACCGGAGTATTTTGCTCGTTTGTTTGCTCCCCGCCTCTCTCAAAGCGCTATTAATAAATGAAGAGAAACATCTGCCCTTTGTCTGGTAAAAGATCTGACGCGGACAGAGAGACACGGTGAGGGGCTGAGGACGAGATGTGCATTTATTAACAAAGTCCTAAGGAAGAAAGTCCAAAACAAAGCAGTTTCCGCTGAGAGTTATCACTTCTGTTGCAGGTCCGTGCCCACGGATTATCCAAAGGAACCTGAAGATCCTACTAACACAGTTAAAGTCAAAAATCAAGAAAAAACATAAGTGTGGTGAGTTCTCTAAATTTCCTTTTCCATCCATCTCTCGCTTCCCCTATCGCGACAGGCCTGTCGCAGGGAGCACAGCCTAGCCCGGCGGCTCCTGGTCGAGTCCTGGCCGGCGGCACCCGGGGCGCGCCACCGCCCCCCACGTCAGATAAAGAACAACCCGTAGAAAGCGGCCCCTGCTCCGCGGGAGCCGAGCCCGGCTGGGGAGCAGCCAAGCCCTGGACCCAGCCGCGGGAAGCGGGTGGCTCCCTGGGGGAACTCCTTAGCTGGTCTAAGAGGCCCCACGGCGGCCACTGCTCGGTATCTCGCGGGGCCCTTTCGCGCTCCCCAGAGCTCTCAGCTCCCTCAAAGACGAGACATCCCCAGGCTGAGGCTCAAGCGCAGCCCCAGCAGTGGGTGCCCAGCCCGCGGCCAGGTCCGGCGGCGGCTCCAGCGCTTTCCTTATATACAGGGCTGCCCCGGGCCGGCGACCGGGAAACGTGCCGAGAGGGGGATTCTTTTGCTGGGCTCCCTCCTACGCGCCGGCTGCTTTGCACTTCTGAAAGTGCCGGGGCTTGGGAAGTGTTTTCCTTTTCATTCCTGGCCGGAGCGTTTACTGCCACGGCGCTAGTAGTCATAAATTTTGTTACAAACCACAATGACAGGTGCATTGATATGCACCCTGAGAGCTCCGGCTGCTTTAATAACCGCTTCGCTGGCCGCTCTCACCGCCTCTTATTTATTCGGTATCATATTAGATATTGATCCGAAGCAGAATTAAGTGTAGTGGAAGTTTTAGTAGAGAACTGCTTAATACAAAAGTGTCGGGAGGAAAGCGCCTGGCAGCGCCGGGCCGGTGTCAGTGTGGGCCAGCCGCGTTCTGCGCACACGCGCGGGTGGACGCGTGGGCTCCCGGCTGCTCCCCGGTCAGAGATGTGAGAGGGTCGGTGTCCCCCAAAAGCGCTGGAACCAGCGGCAGGACAAAAAGTCTCATTATCACGTGCAACGCCTAACAGTTCAGATGAGGTTAAACCTTTCTGGAGAGGAGGAAGGGAAATCTGAAACACAGACATGGATACTTTGCGGTTTCCTACCCTCGGTGCCTCCAAGCCCACCTCCCACAGCTCGGCCTCACCATTTGGATGTCACTTTTTTTTTTTTTTTTTTTTTTTTTTCCCCTAGAGGCTGTTTCTGGCCAAACCACCAAGTGTTGAGCCCCCGCTTTGGTGTTACCTATAAAAACATCACCCCGGGCCTTGCACTCGTAGAAAAATCAAACCCTGGAAAGGTCTCACTCTTTCTCTCCCTCTCTCTCTTTTTAAGATCTAAAGATGAGCCACCAAACAGTTGAGCATTGTCCATGTGATTTATGGCCCATAGCCTCCTTTTTAGGTTCAAGCAGAGTTCACAAGCAGTTGGTATTTCAGAAAAGAAATAAGGCTTTTAACAGCTTAACAGCAATATTCTTTCTTAAGATTCTGCGTATTCTTTTGGGAACTATATTTCACAAGGCACATAAAAGCCTACGTTTAAGGCAGTGTTGTGCTAACAAAAGTCTTCAGTCCAGACTGCTCTCGAAAATGTAGATGATAGAAGTGGGAAACGAGTGACAGAGATATTTAGACAAAAATACTTTCAAGACTCGTCCAGATTATCACAGCACATTAAAACTCATCTGTATGGCCACCGTCTACTCCCATAGACTTTTTAAACTGAAAATTTCCAGGAGAGAAATACAGTTCTTTCCCCGTTTCCATCTGCTTCAAAGATCACCCCAAGCTTTTGTTCAGGGAAGAAAAGGACTCCGACTGTTTGTGACACGGGGTAAACCTGCAATAGGGGCCGCAGATCGCAGCTCGCTGAGGTTATAGAGATGTGTTTCTCGGTGAATTTTAGAGAACATATCAGTGGTACTTGGCGGGACCAATTGCTGGGGAAGAAAGAGGAGTACTGTGATAGCATTGTTTAAGTATAGGCTGGATAATTATAATTATCGGACAGTGTTCAAAAATTTCTAGCTACTCTTCTCTGGTACTTTAATAGGCTTAAATCCTGCAGAAATACAACAAGTCTTAAGATACACTTACATTGCCAGGTGAAGTCTGTGTTAATTTACAAAATTATCAAAAATGTCGGAGAAAAGCCCTATCCAACAAGAAAAATAGGAAGAGGCAATATTAAAAAGCCGCAACAAAATGCGGAACAGTTTCCATCTTGTACAAAAAGCAGAGAAGTTTTGGGAGCAGCAAGGAGGAAGGTAACAGCAGTGTCCCAATATATCTGCCCTAGGGGGACCTTGCGTTTTCGGTGTGAGCAGCCTGATGTGGGAGCTAGGGGGGCGCGTGGGGGAGGGCCATAAGTTTGCAGGCTGGAAAAAGAAAAGAACCCTCTAAAAATTATCTCAGATGTCTCAGGTTCTTTCTACTGGGTACAAATAAAAGGGACGAGAAACGCTGGGTGAGGAAATTTAATTAATCACAGAATTAAAATAGGGGAGCTGACCTGCGACTTCCTTTATAGTGCAAAGTGAAGAGAGTGAATGGCGCCGGTTATACTTTAACTCTGGAGGAATCCAGGGGAAGAAGAAGGGCGGGTTTACAAAGGGGACGGGATTTTTCTGCCTCTACCCGGCCGCAGCCCGGGCTCCATCCATCATGTCAGCCATGCACGGCCGTGCGCACGCGTGTGGGGCGGGGGGTGTGGGTACTCCCGACCGAAATGGGCCGGTGGGTCTCTGGGGACACCACCCAGCACAGTTGCTCACTGCGAGCCCTTGCCTAGAACCGCGGGGAACGATCTAGCCAAACTCGAGAGGGAACGGTCCAAAGACAAAACAAAGCAATGAAACATGCCCCAAAATGCCTCAAAAGGTGGCCTGTAGAAGTCCTGCCAATGTGTCCCCGTTCCCCCCTGCACTATCGCTCTTGGGTGACTCTTTCATTGCTGTGCCCCGGTTCTTCCCTAGTGTATTCTGCTCTCTGTCTGGGGTGCCCCAGTTTGCATGGACTCCTGCCTGGTGACCCTGCTCCTTCCCTGCTCCTAATCTGGTGTCTCTTGCTCTTTTCTTGACGTCCTCTGCTCCTTCCTTGATGTCTCTCAGTCCTCCCATGGTGGGGAGGCTGAGGCTGAAGGTGCTGGAGTGACGGGCTCCTTTTTGAACCTTTTTTGTGTCCCTGCTGTTTCCCTCCCCAGGTGGCTGCGAGTGGCCTGGGCCGACGACGTGAGGCGCAGGGCGGCGGTCAATGTTATTTGAGCGGGGGCCGCGGGCCTCGGCGATCGCAGAGCAGAGGATGCAGAAAGCCGCCTACTATGACAACGCGGGGCTCTTCGGGGGCTACACCTACAGCAAGGCCGACGCCTACCCCTACAGCGCGGCCCACCAGCCCTACGGCCAGGCCGGCTTGGACGGCGAGTACCCCGGCTCCGCCTGCTCCGTCCAGGGCTCGGCGCCCGGCCGCGCCCCGGCCCACAAGGGCAGCGAGCTGAGCGGGAGCTGCATGCGGCCGGGCGGGGGCGGCCCCGGGGGCAGTCAGCCCCCGGGGATGGGGGAGCAGCAGCCCCGGCCCTGCCGCCTTCCTCCTCGCCCCCACCCCCTCCCAGCGTGCCCCCTCCGAAAAAAGCCAAAGGGGGCCCGAACTCCTCGGGCTCGGCCACCGCCACTCTCAGCAAGCAGATATTCCCCTGGATGAAGGAGTCCCGGCAGAACTCCAAGCAGAAAACCACCTGCGCCCCCCCAGGTAGCCCAACATCCCCTCCCCGGTCCGCTGTTTGGCCGGGAGGGCGGGGCTGAGCCCCTCGGCCTGAGCCCCCTGGTCCCGCGCCTTGTCCCCTACTCCTCCAGCTGCCATGGCCTCCATACCCCGCTCGGGGGTCCCGGCCCTTCCGGGCGCTGTAGGTGGGGCAGGTTGGGGGCTCCCGCCTCGCTCCCCCACCAGCCCAGCGGCCGCAGGCGCAGCCCCGACGGCTCTTGGCAGCGCCTGGACGGGTGGCCGCTGGGGGTCTCTGAGGGGAGCTACCCGCGGGAGGGTGTGTATGTCGGGCAAAGAGGGGTGGGAGGCCACCCCCGGATTCCCTGTGCCCACTCCTTGGGCGCCGGCAGAGCGAGAGGGGACGGCGGGGCTCCGAGGGATCCCGGGAGGAAGGAGAGGGGGGGGGTTCTGGGGAGACCAACGTCTCTTTGTGCCTCTTCCCCGTAGGAGAGAGCTGCGAGGACAAGAGCCCCCCCGGGCCGGCCTCCAAGAGGGTGCGCACAGCCTACACCAGCGCGCAGCTGGTGGAGCTGGAGAAGGAGTTTCACTTCAACCGCTACCTGTGCCGACCGCGCCGTGTGGAGATGGCCAACCTGCTCAACCTGACCGAGCGGCAGATCAAGATCTGGTTTCAGAACCGCCGGATGAAGTACAAAAAGGACCAAAAAGCCAAAGGCATCATGCACTCCCCCGTCGGACAGTCCCCGGACCGCAGCCCCCCCCTGAGCGGCCCAAACCACGTCGGCTACTCCAGCCAGCTTTCCGGCGTCAACAGCCTCAGCTACGACGCGCCCTCGCCCACCTCCTTCGCCAAGTCCCAGCAGAGTATGTACGGGCTGGCCGCCTACACGGCGCCGCTGAGCAGCTGCCTGCCGCAGCAGAAGCGCTACGCGGGCGCGGAGTACGACCCCCACCCCATGCAGAGCGGCGGCGGCGGCGGCTTCGCCAACCCCAGCCTGCAGGGCAGTCCCGTCTACGTAGGGGGCAACTTCGTAGACTCGATGCCAGCCTCAGGCCCCATGTTCAACCTGGGGCACCTGCAGCACCCCTCCTCCGCCAGCGTGGACTACAGCTGCGCCGCCCAGATCCCCGGCGGCCACCACCACGGACCTTGCGACCCCCACCCTACCTACACGGACCTCTCCTCTCACCACACCTCTCAGGGACGGATGCAGGAGGCGCCCAAGCTCACGCATCTGTAGCGGGGCGGCGGCCGGCGGGGCCCGCTCCCCTCTCCATTACCTCACTTTTCTGACGGGACAGTGTTACTGTGCTCTCGAGTGCCAACAGTATTAGTGGATTTGTCTCCCCTAGCAGCTCCCTTCTTTCTTCCGCACCCCTGAGTAGGTCCGTGAGCAGGAGCCTTTCTCTTAGAGCTGTTTTAAGCATGACAGTGCAATATACTGCCAACCGAGGGACTGATAAGCTGGTAATGATGTACTTGAAGGTAAGTCTTAGAGATGCCGTAGTGTTAGCAGCGCGTCATGCTGAGGTGTTTTAGACCAGTCGTGAGCCGTGGGAACTCACCCGCGTGGAAGCTTATTTCAGAGAAATTAATTTATGAATTCCTCCGTAATGTAAGGATCACATTGGACTAAATGATATGTATTTATTATTTTAAGCGAGACATTTTTTGTATCATTGATTATTTATCCTCGTCTTAATGTATTTATGTGGCTATTTGTAGAGTTTCTTCACCAGTACTTCGGGAGAGCGATTCAGGTCCGTGGTGACTTACATTTCACCTATTTAGTATAATCGGTCTGAGCTAGTTGAGAGAGTAGTCTTGAACAGTTGTAACAGTGGCTGGTGTTTGTAGTTTATGTAAGGATTAATTAAGACAGCAAGTCGTAAATCATTAATAGAGTAAAACAAACTGTGGCATCACACAAAGAGCCGTTACACTTAAAAAAATATTGAGAGTATTTTTAAAGTATTTATTTCTAATAGGCTGGCCCCACTCGAGCGCCTCGGTGGCTTGGCTGGCAGCTGGCTCGGCCGGGTGAAGCCACCTTTAGTTGGAAGCTCAGCCGCTTTGATGAGGCAATCTACAAAGCGGAGCTATTGGCCATCTTGTTTCAGATCAAATCCTGCATACAAAAACCTCGGTGAGGTTAACATTTATTTATTGGCTGGGTATCTATCGCACATATTATTATTTCGGTGGGCTTTTTTTTTTTTTTTAATTACACTCTGGCTATCTGAAATAGAAATTAGAAGCTTAGAGCGCAAAAAAATTAGAAACCGTCTGATAGTGCTAATTTCATTAGGGTCTCCATAGCAATCCGTGCAGCAGCTGCCGCCTCCTTTGTTATTTTTATACTGTTGTCTTTATACTAACCATAAATCAATTTTTAGACATCTTTGGAAGCCCAAGCTTTTCCTCGTTGTTTTTTTTTTTTTTTTTTCATAAAAATAAACTTTGAAAGAAAATTGACAATCAGATACACACAGCCGAAGGGAGACGCCGAGACGGGGTGCGGGCAGAGGCCGGGTGCTGCCGCCGCGCTCCCCCGGCGCCCAACGAGGACGGTCCTGCCCCGCCTGACCGCGGCAGAGGGGCACCGCCGCCTCCCTCTGACACGAACAGGACAGTTAACAAGGGGAAGGAAAAAAAAAAAGATAAAAAACTAGGAGAAAAAAAAAAAAAGGAACGATGCTCCGAACCCTTGTGTTTCCTTCTCTATAGTTACATGGCTGTATTGAACCCCTCGCTGGATTTACAGAATTATTTCTTTTGTAAACACTGTTATTAAAGTCTCTTCCTGACAGTACATGTCGCTCTGAGAAAAGCATTCTTATCTCTTTCTGAAAGTGTTAAGGATTAATCCAAACTTCTGTATTCCCCACCAAAGTGTCTGATGCGTCACTTTCTAGTTTGACAAACACTGCAGCTCCTACTCCATCCTCTAATGACAGGACCTGGCATTCCTATTGTGCGAAATATTTTACCACCTCCAATCCTGGTCAATACAGACAAGTTTTCTTTATTTTTTCTTCTTTGCTTTCTCATCCCTTCTTTCTTCTTCACCATCTGGTATTTCTGTTCGGCTGAGCAGTAACAATTCAAAATATTACTTAGGGTTTTAGTTTCCTCTCTGGGCGATTTTAACAATGCTGTGCTAAACTGAAAAGTGTATCTTTTGTTAAATTTCACTTTTAACCAAACAAATTCGGATATATGTGTCATAGATCTGTAAACAAAACAGAAGAGAATAAACTACCTTTTTTTTTGGACATATTTTAACCATTTTAAGCCCTAGAACTGTTTTCTATGGAAGTTTTCACACAAATTGTTCTTAGAAACTCCATCCAGGACTAAACAAAACATACAAACAACATAAAAAGTGATGCTAAAAACTACTCATGATTTATACTTATATAATATTCCATAAATATATATATATGTTTGTCTCTTCAAAACTTTCTGTAACCAATGCACCCACAACTGAAATTGTCCATGTAGGTTTTTTTGTGTGTTCCTGAAAACACAATATATTTTGCATCACCTGCTTCTGTCTGCAAAACATCAAGGCACCACCATTTCTGCAGGGTAACTCAGTGCTCTTTTCCCTTTTGCTTCATGCTCTGTAGGCTGTTCTTCAGTGTCTGCTCTGACTTACACTGTTAGTCCTTCATTAAATCTGCTAAGAAAGAAAAGGCTGTTTACAGATAGCCCTTCCCCAGATCTGAGGAAGAAGGGGATTTCAGAGGAACCCTGACCACAAACACAGTGTTACTCCGGCACACTGCCCTGAATTATTTTAATATTGAGCAGAAAGACGGGGTCTGCAGACTTGGTTTCCAGTGGGGGAGGAGGAGGAGGAGCATGCGCGAGGGGGAATCTTCTTGTAAATAAATTCACTTTCTTCTCCATGACACTGGCAGAGGCGTCTTGTTTGTAATGTGATAGAAGTCTGTGATGATAACCTAATTATTAGAAGTAATGTTACTTCAGCGAGATCACTGGCATTTTTACAATGTTTGTACAAGCATCAGCAATCCAGAGGAGAAATACACTTTGGCACAAGCCAGACTTTTTCTTGGCCCATCATTTAAAACCCATAAATTATAAACAACACCCTTTCACACTCAATAGGAACTTAGCTCCTTTGCAACAGCATCTGATGTGATGAACTCCAGTCACCTATTTAAAACAGCTACTCAGCCAAGGCCAGGCCTGGGTCTGATCTTACCCTTACCTTTCTTCACAAATAGGAGCCATAGCACCCCTTCCTCTCCTTACCTGCTCCCTCCATCTGCTCCAGACCCATAAAAGGGTTACTGAGTCAGGGCCTCTAAATGCTGGCAGTGCTGCTGCAGTGTTTGGGATAAGGAGCTGCTGACAGCACTGGTTGAGAGATGTCAGGAGCGCACCAAGCTTCGCCAAGGCCGTGTAGGTTCTCCTGTTCAGATTAGTAGGTTGGTTTGGCCTTTAAAGTAACCCACTGTAATGGGTTTAATGGGTTTGCAGCAGTTTCCCTGCTGCAAAAAGCAGATGAGGCTTTGTGTTAGCTCCCTGGAGCCAGTGTGGGGCTGAACTGCCCCTCTGCACTCTGCTTCTTTTGAGGGAGCCTCATCCATGTCCCACTGCCTCTGGCCTGGTGAGCAGCACCAGGGCAGGGGAACCTAGACAGGCACAGCCAGGGGCTCCCAGGAATGCCACAGTCTTGTAGGTGTCACTTGTGTGGGGCTGGGAAAACAAAGCCAAATGCCTCCTGCTCCATTAGCAAGTGCTTCACAGGCAAACAATGCAGGCTTCCAGCTCTGGTCTCTGGGAAGGCCAGGGAGGGACTCCAGGGCATCCTACACGGCTGCCACTATGAGACCACACCTGGGTCACCTGGGGCTGCAAGCAACCTTGTCCAAAGATGAAGAAGAGGCAGCTGGCTGTACACCCAGGAGGCAAGGACAGGCAGGGGAGAGGCTGGCTAAGAAAGAGGGAGCCTACCAGCAACCAGTAGAAGTCCCCTGAATTTCTTGGGGACCAGCTGAGTCACTGGAGCTGCATGGTAAGAATTCTGAAGGCAGGATCCACCACTGAGTACTCTGCATCCCTTCAACGCCATTGGAAGACCAATGAAACAGCCTGCTGGTTGGTCCAGGCATGAAAGGGTCTAGTTGACTACGGAAAAACCAGGGCAAAGGGTATGGGGCTGCTGGTCTACCACTTGGAAGTTGCCTTGATCACAGCTGTCGGCTGAGGAGGGAGGGAAGGAGCTGCAGGTTGTAATGCCCTCCTTCTATGTGTCAGCCTACCATGCGTGCACAGTGGCTGCACACAAATGGCAGCCTGGTGAAGGCACAGTGTGCTGCACACTGGACAGGCCCAGACATCCAGCACTGCCATCGCAGACCTGCCTGGGAACAAAAGCTGGAGCCAGACAGGCAGCACAAAGGGGCTGGTGCTGCTGGGGCAATTAGGGCTGTGGTGGTTGGCTGGGCACCACATGATGACCTCTGCTTTTAAAAAGTGCATGATGGGCTTGATCAGAGCTCCATTCACTGTAGTCACTTTCCAAGGATTGAGTGGCAAGTTAATCCCTGAATGGGCAACATCTCTCTGTTCTCCTGTGAGAAGCAGTAGTGGTCCTTGCTGGGAGTGGGGCTGGCAGGGGAGCGAGGGGGCTGGCTCTATTAAAGGCCATCAATCACACAAAGAGCACTTTTTACTTGACATTGGTTCCTCCTGCTTCTGCTTGGGCCTGAGCCAGCTGGGACCTGAGCAGAAACCCCATCCAGCAGACGCACAACCCAGCCCCAAGGCCCAAGAGTCATGGAATAACATGGCAGGGCAGGACTGAGACCCTTCATCAGGGGCCTTCAGTGGTTTGTCTGTGTTAACAGGTCCATGCTTAAATCCACAGTGTTTACTTACCTCTCTTCAGGATGCCCACCCGCTGTCTCTGCACCATGGATGTACATCCATCCCCATGTACCACTGAGAATCAGCTTTCCTCCTGCTGGCAGTGTTGTGCCAGCAGAGAGGCAAGGCTATGCTTGAACTTGACCTTCCAGGTCTGGGGGCTGGGGAGGGATATGTTCGATCTCCTGTTTGTTAGTTATTGTGACAAGTGCAGAGGGTGGAGTCTTGCTCCAGAGAGGAAAGGCAACACGTCCCAATCTCAAAGGGGTGTCTGTGGCTTAGGGCTGCCCTTGCCTTCAACACATGCTGCTCAGGCAGCTTCCCTAAGGCATCGCT